CAAACTCTGGGGATGCCCCCCCTCACTCACCCCCGGGGCGTGGGGACCAGGCGGGGGGCTGTCCCGGGGGGTCCCCCCCTCGGGACCCCGACTCCTCTTTGGCTCCAGCTCCTCCTTAGCCAGGGCGGGGAGGTCGCCCCGTTCCGCCCGGCGTTTCCGACGTCTTTCGGGGTCCCGGCCGCGGGCACGAGCCCCCCGCCGCTCTGCCTGCTCCAGCTGGGAGAGGGGGGGACACCCCATCAGTGACCCCCCCCAGAATTTGAGGGGGGGGTGCCCCTGGAGTTCAAGGGGAGTTTGGGGTCCCCAGGGAGGTTTGAGGTGATTTTTGGGGACCCCATCCTGAGAAGGAGGTGGAAGAGGAGTGGTGTAGGGATGGTTTTGGGGTCCCTAGGGCGATTTTGCGGTCCCCAGGGGAGTTTTGGGGTCCCCAGGTGGGGTTTGGGGAGGGTCCCCTTGAGGAGGAGGTGGTATAGGGCAAGAGGAGCAGCGTGGGGATGGTTTTGGGGTCCCGGAGGGTTTGGGGGACCCAACCTTGAGGAGGAGGTGGAAAGGGGCAAGAGGAACAGCATGGGGCCAGTTTTGGGGTCCCAGGGGCCATGCGGGAGTGCTTTGGGGGTCAACAGGAGACTTGGAGGCAGTTTGGGGGGGTTCTGGGATCCCAGGGGATGGTTTGGGGTGGCTGCAGGGCGAGGGGGCCGGTTCTAGGGTCCCTGAGGGTGGTTTGGGGCACTTCTAGGATCCTGGGGGTGCTGTGGGGGGTTCTGGGGTCCCCAGGGTTGTTTGGGGCAGTTTTGGGGTCCTGGGGGTGCTTTAGGGCACTTCTGGAGTCCCCAGGGTGCTTGGGGGCAGTTTTGGGGGGGGGGGCCTGGAGTCCTGAGGATTTTCTAGGGAAGTTTTGGGGTCCTGGGGACACTGTGGAGCAGTTCCAGGGTCCTGCGAAGGTTTTTTGGGGTGGGTTCTAACTCCCTGGGATGGTTTGGGGCAGTTTTGGTGTCCCCAGAAAGGCTTTGGGGGAGGTTTGGGGTCCTGGGGACACTTTAGAGCAGTTCTGGGGTCCCCAGGGTGGTTTGGGCCATTTTTGGGGTCCTGGGGGTGCTTTAGGGCAGTTCTGGGGTTCCTGAGGGTGGTCTGGGGCAGTTTTGGGGTCCTGGGGATGCTCTGGGGCAGTTTTGGGGCCCTGGGGACACTCTGCGGTAGTTTCAGGGTCCCCAAAGTTGTTTTGGGAAGTTTTGGGGTGCTGGGGACACTTTGGAGCATTTCTGGAGTCTTGGGGAGGCTTTGGGGCAGTTCTGGGATCCTGGGGACACGTTGGAGCGTTTTTAGGGTTCTGGTGGCCCCAGAGTGTTTTGGGGCAGTCTTGGGGATACTTTGAGGTGGTTCTGGGGTCCCCAGGGTGGTCTGGGACAGTTTTGGGGTTCAGGGGACACTTTGGAGCAGTTCTGGGGTTCCTAGGAGGGTTTGGGGCAGTTTTGGGGGTGCTTTAGGGCAGTTCTGGGGTCCCCAGGGTAGTTTGGGGGAGTTTTGGGGTTCAGGGGACACGCTTTGGGGGAGTTTTGGGATCCCCAGGCTGCTTCAGGGAAGTTTTAGGGGCCTGAAAATAGAGGAGTTCCGGGGTCCTGGGGGTGCTTGGGGGTCTCCATGGGTGTTGGAGGGCGTTTTTGGGGTTCAGGGGTTCCCCCGTACCTCGAGAAGGAGGCGGAAGAGAGGGAGGGGGGGCGGCCGGGCGGCCTGCAGCAGCCGCCAGATGCTCTGGGCCTCGTCCAGCGTCACCTCCAGCAGATCCCCCTCCATCATCAGCTCCTCCAGCGGCCGCCGCGCCCCCTCCGCCAGCTCCAGCACCGGGCCCTGCAGCCGCGGCAGCGCCGCGCTCAGCGCCTCCAGCTCTGCGGGGACACCGCGTCACTGGGGAGGGCCACGGGGACGCCCCGCCGCCACCGCCCCGCGGCACATAGGGGAGCCGCGGGGCTCCCACGGGCTTCGCGGGGTCCCACTGTACCCCCAGGGGAGCCCCGGGGCTGCTGACGTGGGATCCGCTAGGTCCCAGCACCACGTGGGATCCACGGGGTTGATCCCTGGAATCCCGTGTTGTCCTGGGGCTCACGAGGGATCTATAGGGCTCACGAGGGCTCCCCTCGAGTCCCGCAGTGTCCCCCGTCCTCATACGGGACCCACTGGATCCCTGGAGGCCCACGCTGTCCCCGTCCTGATGAAGGACCTATAGGGCTCACATGGGATCCCTCACAGCCTCAGCCCCAGCTGGAGTCCCACTGGATCCCACGGTGCCCCCGCCCCACCTGTGCTCACAAGGGATGCATAGGGTTCACGTGGGATCCACTGGGTCCCCCAGCAATACACGGGATCCATACGGCTCACAGGGGATCGCTAGAGGCCCACAGCGGCCCCTGTGCTCACAGAGGATCCTTGGGGCTCACATGGGATCCCTGGAATCCCACACCATCCCTCTGCTCACATGTGATCCCTGCGGCTCACACGGGATCCGCAGGGTCCCACAGCATCACATGGGATCCGCGGGGCTTGCAGAGGATCCCTCAAGTCCCCCAGTGTCCCCTGTGCCCGCAATGGAGCCACTGGATCCCACAGCGACCCCTGTGCTCACAGGGGATGCCTGGGGCTCACACAGGATCCACTGGATCCCAGTGTCACATGGGATTGGCAAGGATCACATAGGCTCCCTAAAATCGCAGCATTGCGCCTGTGCTCGGATGGGAGCCGCGGGACCCACACGGGATCCAGTTGATCCCCTAGCGACCCCTGTGCTCACACGGGATCTATAGAGCTTACAAAGGATCCCTAATGTCCCACACTGTTCCCTGCACTCATAAGATCCCTGGAATCCCACGTTGTCCCTGTGCTCACATGGGATCCTATGGGAACCCTATAGATCCAGAGAGTCCCACAGCATCCCCTGTACTCCCAAGGGATCCACTGGATCTCTCTGTCTCCCCTGCGCTCACACAGAATCCCTGGAGCCCCACAGCCTTCCCTGGGCTCACAGGGGATCCCTAAGGCCCACGTGGGATCCAATGGATCCCAGCATCCCCGGTGCTCACCGGGGATCCCAGGGGATCCACCAACCCCCCCCCAGGGCTCCCGCAAAGCCCCCCAGATCCCACTCACCCGAGGGCAGGGGGCCGTTCTTCTCCGGGCTGGGGGCATCGCCGTTCTCCACCGACACCTGCAGGGGAGGGGGCACGGCCTTGGGGGCAGCCCTAACACCTTCCCCTACAGCCCCCATACCCACCCCCACAGC